CTCATCATTTACATAAGAATGATACACATAGAATTAAAATTTCTGAAATTCATATTTTACAGCAGTCCTTGTTATAGCTGAATATATTTGTTTTATAGCAATTACTTGTTTTCTAATAATAAATATTCATTTAAAATTTTTAATGGTTGAAGTTAATAAATAGTTTTAATGTCAGATCACACAGATTTACAGTGTTTTCTTTACCTAGGGAAGAGGGGAGCAATAGAGAATTTCATTTCTAACTAAAACAACACAAAAAAGTAAAAACCAAGAGAAAAACCCCAGTTATCCTGTCGGTTTTTCTTTAAATTTGAAACAGGTTCTCCAAATATAATACAATTCTTTAAAAAAAAATGGAGATGATGATGCTTAAAGAGATACCTCTTTAACTTACCATATTAATATGACTCGTTTAATAAAATGCATTCTTGATTTAATCACACTGTTGATATAGCTATGTTTCCTTTGAAAATTTGTTTGCTATAATGCCCTGGAACACCTCATTGCACAGTTTGGAATCCAAGGGCCATGTTATACAACCTGTTCTTGGCAGATTAGCTCAGTACATGTTTCTCTTGAGAAAAAAAAAGTTTATTGCTTCCTTAGATAAATTTCAAAGAAATTGAATAAATATATGGTATTATGATTTACTTGAGAGATAGTATTTAGAATTATGTAATCATCCTTTTAGACATCTGTGGCCTTTGTAAAAGGTAAGATTAAAATTGACAAGTAGACCATTTTTTATTGCAAAATAATTCTGAACATGTTATGCACAAAAATAAAATATAGATATTTGAAAAATATCCATATATAACATTTTTCTTAGGAACTACCTTGTAAATTTATCTGATTAATATTGTAGTGGAGATTAATAAGGAAAAATACTACTTTTCTCAAACTTCTTCATCATTACACGTGTCATGGTTATTAGAAAGTAAATGGGTGTGAATTCTGACTTCTCCTCTATGCATTCTGAGGTTAAGCTGTGCAAAGAGAGTCATTTCCCCTGCCAGTGATTAGTTTAGGACTGGCTTGTCACTGTCTGGCTAATTAGATATAATGGGAAAGTCAGTGGTGAGTCTTTTCAAAATCTCTCATTTCTTGACAAAAAGAGACAGAAAGTGATGCTTCTTTCGCTGAACATTACTGTATCACTGCTATATCTTCAAGTGATGTGTTAAACTCTGGCAGCTCATTCTGTGACCATGAGTAGAGGTAGCTGAAGATAAAGTGAAAAATAGGAAAGAAGATTCCTGAGTCTGTGGGTGATGTTGATTAAAAAGTCTTAAAAAAAAGTCCACCTTGTCACTGAGCACTGTGAGAGTGTAACTATTCTACGTATACGTTAAGGGCCTGTAACTGACACGGTGACTCTTGTTCCTTAATTGTAAGTACTATTCAAAGTGGAGTTAAAGATTCAAGGTCCTTGCATTGGGTTAACAGTATGAGCAGTGAAATGTGTTTTGAAAAATGCAAGGGGTTCCGATACCTCATCTGTCTGCCAATCCTTTATCTCCCATGGAGAACTTTTCAGAGTAAGATAGTTAGAGAATTGAATTAAAGAACTTTGGTGAATGCTGACTTTGTATGAGGGACAAGGAAAAAGGAGGGATCTAGGTGCCTACTATGTGTTGGGTTTGGGTCGCTGTGGAGATGCTGCTACCACTCCAAATGATAAGGACAGTAACCCAAAGAACAACTTAAGTCTTCTGCATTCTGAATGCGAAATGTCTAGGAATATTCAGAAAATGATTCCAGAAAGTATGCAGATATATAATCCTGGAGTTGACAGAAATATCTAAACTATAAGATGAAGAGATTTAGTATTTTTAGTTGAAACCATGGGCATAGATGAGATTGCATAGGCAGATCTTGAATAGGGAAGAGGAAAATCTGGAACTTCAGAGAACACCAGTATTTCCGGACAGAGTAGGGGAAGAAGTGGTTGAGAAGGAGGGAGAAAATGATTGCTGCTTTCCTCAGTGACATCTCATTTCACCTTAGGTTTTTTAAAGAGAAATTCTGAGACATTTGTAGGAACTTTGTATGGAGCTTTAATCAGGCTATAAATTTTACATTTTTTTTTAAAAACTAGATTCTTCCTTAAATGCTTGTTTTAGTTGATTACTGCGTAGTGCTAAGTAGTAGCTTTATGGGATGAAAAACTAATGTACCATCTAACACTAGCAACTCACTGTCTTCTCTCTCAAAAGATCGGTTTTGTTATTGTGCTTATTAGTAGAGCTATGTTGACGTGGGACCAAAAAGGTATAAACCGTCATCAGTCTTTGTTTCCAGGCATTAATGATAGAGGTCTTGTTTATAGGACACATGTAGAAATACACATACTTGCCTCTTATATTTTGCTGCTCACAATTTTGTATTTCATTCTTTTTGTAATTTGTGTCATTCAAAATGGGCTAGCTAATGTGCTTTTTTGTATAAAAATAATATATTTTGGAGAATAAGGTAGATTCTAAAAGTCAGTTTTTCTTGGCTAAGGAAATTTCTTTAAAAGCAAATAGAAAATTTCTGACTTCTGGAGAGCATTACCTTAAACCTTTCACATGATCTGTGAATGCTTATCTAAAATTGTGTGTGTGGTGTGCCTGTGTGTGTGTGTGTGTGATACCAAAAGCACAAGTGTGGTAGAAATACCAGTCTTCATGAACACTTTTTTCTCCAGTAAATGTAGAAAGATAAATTTCAATTAACACACACACACACACACACACACACACACACACAAATTTCAGTTAACACTATTCCTAACAGGATCCCCCCAAAAGAGATTTGAATATATTTTATTCCTCCCTCCAACTTTTTCTTTGCTTTTTAAACTTCAATTCGAATAGCACCTGTAATTAAGAAAGAAAACTGAGCCCTGGGAGCTAGGTAGGACTTCTAGCTATTGATCTGTGTAAACCCTGCTTATACTGTCAGGGCAGAAACAGTCAACTGCTGAGCTGCTTTGTCACTGACATAAGCTGAGAGAGGATTTTTTTTGTCTATACTGTTTATACACTAGTCTATAGACCTGCTGCCTGGTTGAATTTTAAAGAGTGCGGAGGTTTAAAGACTTGTCCCCCGAGGGATGCTTCTGCCAGTTGGGAAGCGAGCTGAGCCTGTTTTGCAGAAGTGTGTGCATGTGTGTTGCTTGTGTAAGAAAGGAGGGGGAAGGTGTGAAAAGACTGAGCAGCTAAGTGGGAAGCCTCCTTCTTAATTTGAGTCTTAAATTGATACAGAATATATGGCTAATTTGGATGTATTTAGAGGTAGACATTAAATTTTGAATATATACTCTTTATTCTAGAAATTATGTAGGTGATTTTGCAGGGGAATATCAGAATAACGTTCGTATGTTTAATAAATATGATGAATGACCGCTTTCTGCAGCACAAGAGAGATAAAGCAATAGTCGCATGTAAACAAACTTCTCAGTTGTAATGAACTGTTGTTCAGTAGTTTATTTCAAGTGTTTAATTACATTTAACAAAATATCATTACTAAGATAGTTGACTTTCTATAAATCTGTGCTCATACTTTCAAAAGTACATGTTCATAAGCACATCTGGGCATCCTGCTCTAAGGGAAGAAGGTTTCCTTTTTATATATATTTTCTTTTTTTTCTTTAAAGAGAAAAAAACAAAAACAAATAACAAAAGTAAAGACATAAAACAGCACGCACAAGATAGCTAAGATAATTGTACTACTAATTTCTATTAGTTTATTGACAGGAAGAGTTAATGTGTAATTGTTTGATCAATACTACGTGCCTATATCTGGTTATCTGAGAAGGTTTCTTTTTTGTACCATGCTTTTCTTTGTGTTTTTGAGAATTAAGGCTCTTGAAGCTTTCTGAGACATTGATAGAATTCTATTATGTTTCATTTTAGCTGTGTATATTATTGCAGTATACATTTTAAAAGGATTCTAGAAATTTTACTTTAAAATAGTATTTATATGTAGTGTTCAAGTATTCAGATACTGATGATTTTCAATGTTTTATTGGTAAAGGAATAGTAGCAAGGTAACTTTATGGAGGGGTGTCTTACATTAATAGATTTGCTTGATTTTCTTTTAATAGGAAACACTTTGATACATCTCTCCTTTATCTTATAAGATCACCTGGCTTTGAACTTTTTTGAATTAGAGTTAATTTTAAGTTGTTTTTCAGATATAACAAAATGGATCTTTTTCTATTTTTTTGACAAGTGCCTGGCAATCGCTTACATTTGGTGTAATTGTTAATGAATATTATTTCTAAAAAATTTAAACTTTTGTAATTACTATAAGTTATTAAAGGTTTCAAAATCAGGTTATTTTCAATGTTTAAAATATTGATTTTAATATTAAACAATTTTTAAATGAAAGTGCACATAACAGAAGCTGTGTTTTAATCTAAAGGCTTATTTTTAGAAATGCGTTTCTAAAATGTTATTTAACTTTATACCAAGGGTAGAAACATAAATATGTCTTTTTTAGCTGTAGAAAGTTGGTTTTTTTTTTTTTAAAGAACCATTTGAGTATGGGACATGTAGAGTTGTTACACCTCTCAGTAATTCATTCTGCTGCCAACTTCATTCCCTTTTCTCTGCCTGCATTTTAATTGAAACAACATTTATATTTTTGAGCCAGGATCTGTCAGAAGTCCCTATGGCTAGTCTGTAGTACAAGTAGCAGCAGACATAGCTTACCCATATGGTGTGGTGCTTCTTGTAAAATCCATATGGCCTTGTTGAAGGGAATCCCAGCGGGGATGTGAAGGGTGTTAATACCCTTCAGGCCAGGCCCTTCCCTCCTGGGGCTTCTGTGGCATTGTCAGTGCAATCTGCCAAAGCAGAAACTTAATTCCTTTTTAATAATCAATTATTTTAGTCTAGGAACCTGTGCTATTTTTCTGAAGAAAAAAATTTTTCCTAGAAAATGTCTTTAAAAAGTTTTAACTGCACCTTTAAAAAGTATTCTAAAGCTTTTTTTTAAATTTACATTTATAGGAAGTACTACAGAGCGTGCCAAAGTTCTGTTTCCCCTTTGACGTTGAAAGGTACAGTATATAAGTCAATATTTATAATAACTTTAGTTTATCTTTGCACTTTAAAATGATAATGTGATTTTTAATAAAATCAAATAATCTCTTAATTGTTTCTAGAGAAACAGTGGAGACTAGAGATTCAAATGAAAGTAAATGACATTTGAAATTAAGAAGCCTTTCCAGTTATAGTAGCTTTTACTTTGTTCATCATGACCAGACTGGACGAGTCCTAAGGCAGTATTACTGATAGGGTATATTTTTCTCCTTCTTCAGGTGTGTATTGTACAAACTAGCAGGAAAAAGATGTCCTTGTTCTGAACCTTCAAACAGTATCTTTTAAAGTTAGGTGTACATATCCTGGTGTCTTTCTCACTTCTTCCTAATTGAAAAGACCATCTGTATGATGTAAAACTCATAGCCAGTTGTCTCCCAAGAATAGCTTCATAGAAATAGTGCAGTATTATGGAAGGCTTTCTAGCAGTTGTGAAAACCTTATTATGTTTGTATTTTATTGAACAAATACTGAATGAACTATGTATATTTAGTTGGAATTTAATAGAATATATATTCCTTTACTCTATCTAGTGACAGATTACTTACTGTTTTTCATGTGATTTTCATACCGTGTTATCAGTTTTCTTAGATTTTCTTAGTATGATTTTTTAAATGAAATTTATTATAAGGAAAAATTTTGATAAGGATTAATGAGACTTCAAAATTTTACTATACTAAAGATAAAAGCTTCTGATGAGGAGTTAGTTGATACGAATAAGTATTCTGAGGAATGATACTTCTTGTTTACTAATTTCTGGAGAGTCATTTCTCTCCTCCCATCCTTAAAGATACCATTTTAAAATCAATAGCAAGAGTAAAGTAAAAGAAGAAAGGATAGCAAAGGCTATTGTGAACTTCGAGTGTTAGAGGGCATATTAGTCACTGGAGGATTTCTTTGAAGTTTATAAAATTAAAAAAATTGTCATGTGACAGTATATTTTTAAAATACTAAACATTTGAAATGCAGTATTTCCTGAAAAAATAGTATTGGTACAGTGGTAGTCATTTATTTCCTTTTTTACACTCCTTATACTGTTTTAGAAATAAACTTCAGGTGTCATGGATATTGTATTTGGGGACAAGGAGCCAGAAATTAGGTTATCTAATACCAAAGTTATAGCCAGTACACAGACATGTACTTACAGATCTTATCTAATGATTTAGATTGTCCTTTATACTGTGGTGTGACACATACTGTGGCACTATGATAGTTCAAAATTAGCTAGAATTCCTTATAGCTTAGGCAATATACTTCTTTGGTAGAAATCACATTTATATTTATATTTGGAAATCCTCAATGTATTGATATCTCTAAAAGTGGATGCTAAGGAAAAAACACCAATAGTGTTTTGTATGGTACTTTACTGGGTGAGAATGTCAACAGACTAAGCAATTAAGCAGAGTTGGTGGTGGTTGCCATTAGGTTCTGAAACATGATTTGCTATCTAAGCAGTTAATAACTGTGGAAAGCAGAATAATTGGGAAAAGAGAAACTACTATGAGCCCAAAGACTTACTTTATGTAGCTTCTTCAGTTTCAGTTAAAGTATTTTAATGACATATAAAATATTTTATAGGTACTTTCAAGCTTTTGAAAACTATGGCAGACGTCCTTTTGGTTTTCTTGTTAGGAATTAGTATATGCTGAATTGTGTAACCTGTAAAGTATTATATCTTATTTTGTTGTGTGATTCATGCTTTAATTTACTCCTTTCACATTCATTGTGTAGTTTTAGAACAGAATTTTAACTTCATGAACCGATTGATTGAAAACCAACAGTGGAAAACAACACCATGTATAGTCTTGAATTTGTTTTTGTTTAAGAAAACTGTCACACCAGGCTTAATTTTTCATAATGTTGCTATATTTTAGGGTGTCTCAAAATCAAGTTGGACAGCACTTTACCTTTGTACTGACTGACATTGAAAGTAAACAGAGATTTGGATTCTGCAGACTCACATCAGGAGGCAAAATTTGTTTATGCATCCTTAGGTGAGTAATTGTACAAAAAATTGGCTGCCACACAGATGAGCCATATCTTTCTTTTGTATTTTGTTTTGCTTAGATGCCAAAAAATAAAAGCCTACCATAGTTTTTAACTTGCTTTGTCTAACTTCAAGCAGGTTGAAAAGTATTTTTTTTTTTTTACTTTCTATACACAGAATCGGATGTAAAGATCTATTAGTAATTTAGTGAAGCTTTTCTTTATTTTTTTTATTTTTGAAGCTTTTCTTTAAAGAATTGAATCTTTTAAAGATTAGATTTTGTGGATTTATTTTTGCAAATTAAACATTAAAACACAAGTTTAAATAATATAGGTATTACTGATGTTAAATATGATCCAGATATTTCAATAAATTAATGTCTGCCTTTTTCTAGCACTAACCATAACTTTGATTTCTGCAAATGAGTTGCTGTTTTAAGGCACAGGTTGCAAACTAGTTATGCAGACTAAAGATGGAGGTGCTTGGCTACCGGTGTTTTAAAACTGGTAAAACATGTTGTTAATCACTTAGGAAGTGCTTATGCATTCTGTATTTCTAATTTCCTTATGAGAAGTGGAAATGCATACTAATTACAGTCCTGCACTCCCCAAATGGCAGCAGTAAGCTAAAATTAAATGGCAGGTTTCTAGTTATGTCTTGAGCTTGCTAGTTTCTGTGGTTCCCACCTGTCCTGCTTCCATACTATCTGTGATGGAGCTTCATTCAGTTCGTGGTAGAGAGCGTGTCTCCTGCCATTAGAACCATATTTGAGTTGCTAGCTATTGAGGAGAAGGGGTACTGTGGGTTAGCATTCCTGTAATGTATCCTGATGAATCAGAAATCCAGATGTAATCTATGAAAATAGGACTATATGCTGTTATAATATGGATATCGGTCAACCTAGATTCTGCAGAAATGCATATAAAAAAGATTAACATTTAACTAATGAATTAATATATTACAGACAAATCAGTATAAAATCGATTTCTTCTGTGTTTATTTGTTATTCAGCTGCATTTTTGAGATTCATTGTGAGTTAAGTATTAATAAATTCAGAACATTCATTGGAGCTGGAGAATTTTTCAGTTTTTACTCAGAACTAAATGCTGAACTACTTTGTAGGTAATAAAATGTATGTGTCTCCATTTTCTCTTAAGGGCGCACTGTTTTCATCTTGATAACAATTGTATTTAAAACTTTTGTTTTAGCTAGACGAATCTTTGCTTAAGCTGTAGGTTGACTTTTCTAAGTTAGAGAAGTTGTTGTGCAGTACGGATAGAGTGGCGTTGTGGGGGATGATTGGGGTGAACTCCTTTTATCATTGTGTCTCATGCTAAAATTTCAAAGCTACAGCTTAATGGGGAGTTACACTCATGCATTCTGTCCCAGACAGCTTTGTCCTGAGAAAAACCAAAGCTATTTGTGCTCTTTTATCACCTTTACCAATTTGTGAAATCTTCATTAAAACAATCCAAATTTGCAGAGAATTTGTAATAGTATAATGAGCTCACGTTAACATCACATAGATTCTTCACTTAACGGGCATCTTTCTCTCCTTCCTTTCCTTTCACTCTCCGTGTCTTTTTCTTTTTCTCTGTCATTATTATTGTTTCTGTTGACAATTTGGCCATTTGAGGATAAATTGTAGGTACTGTAGATGTTATTTTTCTAGATGTGAATGTATATTTTACAGCTTACTTCAGTCTTCAAGCTGCATTTTTGATGTTATTTTAAATTAAAGAATTTAAACATTTTTAGTGCTTTGAACTCTTAATGTATTGTGAATATTTTGAACCTGTTAATAATAAATATATTCAGACTAGTCTGTATAAATTTGCTTGTATTGCTTACATTTAGAAAAGCCATTATTGCTTCAGAGTATTTACATGAATGCAAACTATAGCTATTAAATGATGAAAGACGGGTATACTATCCATATCAACAATCCAGTTGTCATTAATTTGTAGGAATCATATCCTAAAACAATTACAGTAACCAAGATATTCTAAAACTTGTCTATGTGAAAGAATACCTTGTAGTACTCTTTGAATTAGGAATAGTGTTACTTGTAGGAAATATGACTACCTAGCATCAGTGTAGTAAAACATCAAAATCAAATTATATATATCTGTAACGATGACCTTTCACAACAAGCATCATTGATGTTTGTTTATTAACATTTTTATGTTTAATCATTTAATTTTGTCATTTGACAGTATTTTCTGGTAGGTAAGAAATAGGAGATGTCAAAGCTTTGTGGAAAAATCATTGTGGTAAATCTTACATTGAAAAAATTCTATCCTCCACCTTAGTTTGCCCCTCATAATTAGAAAAGTATTGCTGCTTTAAGATTTAAATGTCGGGGGCTGGGGATTTAGCTCAGCGGCAAAGCGCTTGCCTGGGAAGCGCAAGGTCATGAGTTCGGTTCCCGGTACCGGAGAAAAAACCAAAAAAAAAAAAAAAAAAAAAAAAAAAAAAGATTTAAATGTCATATTTAAATCTTGATCCTGAAAGTCAGTGTGTTAAGGTGTTTTTTGAGACTAGTTAGTTTAGAGAATAACCAGTACATTAGGTAACTATTTAGATTTAATAATGAAAGGGGAATTCAAATATAATGGAATTCAAAAACTTGTTTGGAAAATTGTTATGGATAGGTAAATATCTGTAAGTTAAAATCAGCGTTATCACTTGGAAAATAATTTTAACAAACTTCTATAAGTGCTTTATTGAGAGAAATAATGATGTTTGAGCCCTGATGTATTCGTCTGGTTTGGTGGTTCTCTATAATTTAGGTTTAATGTTGTAGTTATTGAAGGGAATGATGAAAACCTAAATATATTAGAAAAACATGACTGTGGCCCTGAGAGCCTTTATATTACCTGACATGGCATACAAAAGCCTAAAGGGTTGGTGTTGTTTTGTTTTACCAAATAATGATGATAGAAACTTTTATTTGGTGACAAATATAACAAGAAAACTTAAAGTACAATTAATAAACTGGTAGAAATACATTCACAACCACTATACCAGAGTTCAATAGCTGTAATATGTAACAAGCACCTACAAATTAATAAGAAAACAACTCAATAGAAAAATAAGTAGAGTGTCTGAAGATCTTACAAAACTGCAAATAGCTTATATATTTATGAAAGATGCTCCACCTTACTGAAGGGAAAATGAATGAGCACGTTAAGATTGGCAAAATTGAAAATATTTCTTAAATAAGCTCACGAATACATGCATTTCATGCATTACTTGTAAGACTATAATGACATAATCTTTTGAAGAAAAGTTTAATATTATGTCATATTTTTAAAATTCCATGCTTCTTGTCTCAAAGTAATATTTTTTTAAAGTAATATTTATGAAAAATTTCAAAGTAATATGTTTTGTGTGTCTGTGGTCTTCAGAGCCAGATAGGTGTGTATACACATGTATGTATGTACCTTGATAAGTAGCTAACCCATCACAAAGAATTATAAAGTAATGAATGAGTAAGTAATTATTAAAAAGTTTAGAAGGATAGACTCCCGGTAATTTTTATTTTGTATACTTAAGCATTTATCCATTTGATGAGAAAAAATCATTTCAATCAATTTTTTCTCATTCAAAATTTTGAGATATCATCATTATATAGATAATAAACTATAAATATAGATCTATATATTATACTAAAAGTAGGAATTTATCCAAATCATCTTTTGTCACATACAATATTTAGTGTGTTTGCAAGATGATGTGTTCTAGTATAGGCACTTCAAACGCACTAACTTAATTATGAGTGTGTGGCAGAATTAAGAATGGGGAGGGGAAAATTTTGTCCTGTGCCTTCAAAAATCAGAATCGCAGTGTGAAAGAATGATTTTTTAAAGAAAAAATATAGCTGATGGGGCAACGGTGACATTCTTGGAGCTAGATATTAGTGTTTTTCTTTAATTTCAATGTGAAATGTTCAGTCTGGTAAAAATGCATAATAGGATGGCTGAAGAAATACTACTCTTCCTAAAATTTAGTTTCTACTTCCCCCTTTTCCAACAGTACTCACTTACTTTCACTGTGCCTTAGATGTAGGATTAAGATACAGGAGAAAGATGTGTGATATTATGTATAATATATGTGTATTGTACTACTATTCAATAGATGAGTAGTTATTTTTTGGAAGGAGTAGGGGAAGGCAGGAGTATTTAATGAGTTACTCATAGAATTGTTTGTGGCAATTAAGTCTCTTAATTTATAGGCTAGTTTTTCTGTAACAGGTCACCCTGTCTGCAGTGGTGTGAGAGAAGATCGACCACTGCTGTCTGGAGTCTTTACTAGTGGCTGCCAAAGACTTAGAGTAATGTTTGCAATGTATTTTTTAAGAGTGTTTCAGACTTCGGGTTTATGTACCTAATAAGGTTAAGATTTATTGAGGATTATAACAAAATACTTGTGTAAACAAGTCATATATATGTCTTCAGCCATGTTTTCTGATAACAAAAGTAATATACCATTTCACTATAAATATTTTTAGACGATTCAGAGAAGTCTAAAAAAAAGAAAATAAGAGCCCTTTATATTTGTGACACGTAGTGAATGTATTCATTTAGTACTCTTCTTTCTGTAAGATTTAAGATATATTTAAAAAATTTTTCAAATGAAATGATTAACTTTAGTCTTTATTTATAATTAGTAAAATGCATGAAGGTGTTCCAAGTATCTCATAAACTGACTCTTATATGTTATATTCCACAAATGCCCAGAATTATTGGACATACTTAATCTGATTGTTGGAACTTTTCTTTTTTCTTTCCTGTTCATTGAGATATCATACAAATAATATGTTTTCCTTCTAATTTCAGTTTAAATCATTTACTTAGATCTTTAAATACATTATCACTTTTGAATATTAAATGTTATTATGTTGTCCTTGAAGCTATGATCTGTATAATATTAGTATATTTATATTGAAGGGCATTCTATTTTTACACATTCTGTTGTCTGATAACACTGGTTTGATAGTTTAAT